AGGGGTGAGGTACGCTTAGTAGATCTACAAGGAGTGGAGTTCACAACTACTAGGCAACAACATAGAGTGAGTGTATGGCATCGTGTCATTGGTGGACGGTCGGTCATCTCGCGAACTTACTTGAATTGTCGACAAATGTTTGGCAAGTGAATTTCACCGGCGTCGCCAGTCAGAAACTGGGAGATCCTGACGCCGCTAGGTTTTGCCATGCTAGGGATGATTCTTGTTGGTGTGTTGGAGCCATAGTCAAGACTGTGTGACCAGTGGCGTGCACAATGTGACATTCTGCTGTCAGAGCGTTAATTAGGCTTGCACAGGATGTGATGGCTATGAGATGAGCAGCTACGCCATGCATTACAGAACTGGTTATGGTCGAGCAATTATTAATGGAACTGCGATCCAAAGGCACGTGGTCAGTGACTAGTGTTTCGCTGGTATTCACGTTTACAGCATGTGGATTGCAATGCCGCACTGGCGATCCAAATCATGCCATAATTATGACTGTGACTTGTGCGGATGATTGATACCTAGAGATGAATGTCCTTCACCGAACATGGCAATTTTCTTATATGCCAACTAAGTATTAAGAGAGCAAACAAGAAAACATGGTTCGCCAAAGCGACAAAGAAACTACGAAAGTAGCGCAAGGTGTTACGATAGAAGTGGTTCCAGTCAGTGAAACGTCTCCTGAGCGAGCATGTACGTGTACGTGTAGATGGATGCTAGTTGTCCCTGCCACCGTGCATGTGTCTATCACTATACCTCTTGTCGCAGCAGGCAAAGCATTCTTAGATTGGAAAGATCGCAGGGAATCCAAAGTCAGTTTAAATGGAAGTGACAAGATCTGCTTGAGCCTTGTCGGCTCTCAAAGACCAACACAGAAAATGTACGCCTATGGAACACAGTATGATTGTACTGCAATATATTATGCAGACCAGTCCATTGACGGAACACGAGTGCAATCTGCCATGCAACGTGAGCTCGAGAGTTGAAATGAGTTCCTTTGCAGATATCGGTTGCTGGTGTAAGGTGACACGAAAACAGCTTAGAATTGAAGGCCGCCAATTTGAAGACGACTGCTTTATTACTACCAGCGCGACTTGTAACACGAGCAAAAGGCAATTACGCAGCGCAAGGACTCAGCGAGGTAACGCATATCCGATAGCAAAGAGAGGCGCACGGGTCAAGAACGCCCTCAGGGCACAGGACAAATGTTACCACCTCTTCATCTCTCCAGCATACCAACGTAATTATGCCGTTGGTCCTCATTCCTGAACTGACGATGTTTGCTGTGGGGCGTCATGTCTACACGCCAATTTGCCGTGTACTGCAAGAGGCCTGTTCGAGGAGACACACAAGCGAAACCCAATCCCTTGACACTGACAATAGGCGAAGTTGGCCATGAAAATAGAATCTGGACCTCTGAGGGTCCCCCAGTGCGGTCCGTCACAACAGATTAACACAATTATTTAGTTTTGCAGCCACCCTGGTAAACATTTTTAAAGAGGTGTGTATTAGTTGAAATTTGAGTTGATGTTACTGCAGACACAGCCTAGACGACTGGGAAAATCGGATCAGTCTCCGCGGTGCATAACCCCACTTTGTTGCTACAGGTTTAACTCGAGTTAACGTCACAACAACGTCAAACAAGTACCACTGAGAGGCATGCAGTGCTTCCACTGAGCTTCGGTTAATGTCATGTAAAGCAGTACAGTGTGTTCGAGTTACGCTTCGCGCAAAAGGCCGATGGTGTGGCGTCATGTTGCGACGTTGCCGCGGGGATTGTTTCGCCACGGGTGCATCTGCATGTTAAACTGCATGTCAAACTCCACTCCGGGTGGGAGCTAAATGTTTGGTTAAACATTGTAGGTCTTCCGGGAAATGGCAACATTATTGTTGTAGAGGCACTGTTGGTAGATGTACAATCATGTACGATATACCATCAATAATATCAAGATTACATAACCAGATTATGTACACGTGTTAATACCCTGCTTTGACTGCACATTTGATTATTTCCGTAGATTCTGTAGAACATGAAAACATGAGAACCTGACCCCCTTTGCATCCTGCTTTTCAATTAGGCACCGCGCAGCAACAGTCGAAATTTCCATCGGAAGTACCACATGCACTGCGTGGTGGTTTTGATGTCAGGAAACTCAATCAGCGGGATCTAGTTGAGTGGATACACAGCGTATTGAGCGCACATTGCTCTAAACCCAGTACTACTGCTAGTATGCAGTGATAGTGTGTGTTCAGTGCGAAAGCAGGTTGGTGCTCCGCTAAAGGGAGTAGAAGTGCAGATTGGCACCGGACGATCTCATCACCCTTTGCTCTACATCTGGAATGAATGGGGTCTTTGGGCTAATTGTGTTGGCATGATTCTCACAGTGCTCGCACACTGCTTGTCACTTCCTTCGATTGCTTCGTGCTCTGACTATTCTCCGAGGTGACAACACTAAATCGCCTACTTGCGTTGCGAATGTAATTGTCACTCTCCGACCAAGATTGCAACCGCTGGCAGTTGTGTTCAACAAGCGACTATCCTGTGTGCACACACCCGGACTCGAAAGCTCTCACCAGTGCTAATCTCACACTTGTGTCTCTGCAGTGAGTTCACCAGAGCTGCTCATCACTCAGAACATTAACAGTACCGTTGCGCAGTCGGTCACACCCGGACATTGGATGAGGTGGGCCGCTAGTCGGCGTGGCAGCTCAAAAGACTCGCAGACTCTGCGACCACACAGCCGATGAGAGAGACAAAAAGCAAATTCTTATCTGGGGTCTCGCGGTGAAAATAGAATAACCGTGTTCGGCATCTTGTGAGGGTAACTGTCAGCGAAGCCGATGGATGGACACTGGTACGGTGGGTGGTAGTGTGTAAAGGGATTGAAGCCACAGGAAAAGGATCCTTGGCTCGCACGTTTCAACTCAGGAAATCGAGTGAGACGCATCCGTGAAGGCCTGTCCCACACAATGCACTTGCCTCTAGTGAGGAAATCGGCTTCGAATATGCGTTCCGGTTTTGTGGCACGCTTCAATGCCGAAAATCGAGCAAGTTCGGAATGACCAGTGAAGGCCTGCACCACACAATGCGCTTGCCTTTGGTGAGAAAATCGGCTTCGGTTATGCGCGCGTTCCGGTATCCAGAACCCAATCTGAAAACGCGCCGCTCTTTCAGCGCCTCGCAGGTCGTCAGAGACACCTGGTGACACTGTCGATGTGGATACAGGGCGGTGTCGCTCATGGGCAGACAAACATGTGGAGTAGGGTCTTGCTCGCCTACTGCCACTCCTGGTTCAACCGCTCCCCCACTCCCGTGTAACTAACTTGAAAAAGTGCTTGCCGAATTTCGGGCAGCTTCTATTCTGAGAATGATCTCTTGAGAAGAAGACCTGCGGGCGTTTGTTTATCAAGAACGACAGGTATTTCAAGGTCTAGACTTCCATCAGAAGACTTTCTAGCAACTACCCCAGACATTATGTTAGTCTATGTGCCAATGTTGTAAACGCTTAGGCGTTCGCCCATGCTGCCTGCAAGACGATGACATGATCGTGGGAACTTGCCATTGACAAATGCTAGCCCGCAAAAGCCTTGCGTACAAGTTGGTGCACTCTGAGCCAACGCCCAAGTGTCCAGTATACGGGACGTTGGCATAGCTCTTCTATGTGTGGTGAAGGGGGGGGGGGGGTAAATTCTGCCACTGTAAATACTTGCCCTGAGTAAGAACATGAAATGCACGCGACCTGTCACCAGCAAGCTCCCGCCATGAATCAGTAATACTTTTAGAGTGATCCGAAGAGTAATTTAGGAGATCAAGAACAAGACGCCATTCATTATCATGTACGCGGTATGCCCTGTATGAGATTCATTTGGCATTTTGTGTAGCTTGGGCTTCACTAGAGTCATTGTGGGCATATTGGTGGTTGTAGCGCACTTGTGATTTGCGTCTTGAGGACATGTTTACTCGCACGGTTCTTTGTCCACCTCCGACAGCCAGCCAGCCAACTGACAACGTGCTAATGCAGTTTCCGAAATTCCGCTGATTGCATTTGTGGTGACGGTGCGTCTTGCTGATCCGAGGGGCACGGACCGTTCAGCGTTGGGTAGGCGCTAATCAGTTTTATGATTCGAAAGCGCCATCCTTGGCAAGTCGTGCTATCTATTGCGTGTATCTCTAGTGCCTGTCGATACTCTACTCTGAGGATGACAGGGAATTGTGCCACTTGGGCGACGTGATAAAATTACGATCTGATAAAGACGCACCGAAAATAGAACACGTCCTTGCCACGGAATAGCAACTTTGTACACTATCTTAACGTGCCGCGGGGAAATGACGGAGCAAAACACCGATGATATCTGCGTCCAGGTTCATCTTGAGCTGATCAATTAGCGACACGGGCCCTGTTTTCCTGTTGGGCCTCCTTGTATCTGAATCACTGCGACACTGCCGGCGCTAAGACATGGAACATGATTGAATCAGGACGGCCATAATAACATCATAATTTGAAGAAAATTGCATTGCGGTCCCAGACAAACATGGCTGCTTCGAGAGGCTTGGCTGCTGATGAGCTATCTCTTCGGTATCAGCTGCCAACAGAACTCAACACCAAAAATCATCCTGCTGTCAAAACTCACACATTCGTAGGACAGCATCAACAGGGTAGTACGCCAAGCGCATACCCACATAGAATACCCGTGACGGCTTTGCTCCTCTGCTCATATTCCTTTACAAAATTAATTGGAGCTGAATGGAATTATTTATCTGGATCCTCACACGTATTTACTGAAGCTGCCTGCCAACTGCTTATGATTAAAATTTTTGCAGTGCTGATGACTAGCGCTAGTGGGGTAAAGGTTATGATGTCAGAAATGCAGGGAATTGTGAAATTCAGATCCGTGCGCCTGGTCAAACTCGTTTCTGGGCGTGAAACGATCATGACAAGACTAATAAGTGTCCTCTGCGTGTGCGTGATCCTGTATCCTATTTTCTTTTGCAGGGAGTCATCTCGGAGTTCAGCTACTACACGGACCCAGCCGAGGCCAACGCTCTCGCCTGCTCATCTCACTCGGCAGACGCAGCAAGACAAAGTGAGTATATTTGTGCTGCTGGTACTTGTTCATGTACTCCGAAACACTTTTAGTCGCTTGTTGTCTGATGCTACTTTTTGGTTCCCAATTTTGTACCAATAAAATAAGATGAGAATTTCATTTTTTTTATCTAGTTACCAACGAATGTTCGAGACTCGCCTTGTCCAGGGCACAAATTCGGCCAAGTAGAATCCCACAGAGTTTTCTCATGCTATGACACGTGGATTGCTCAAGGGAATCGTAGTAAATACATTGTGTGTGTGCATTGAATATGCTATGGTTTGCGTGAAGCGAGCAACTGCAATCTGAAAACTTCCCATCTGACAGTGTATTTGGGAAGTCAATAAGACTATGTGGGAATGGCTATGTTATTAATTCGTGCCTGAATTCAACTTTTGGTTATCAAACTAGGAATCTCACTGTTGGAATTTAGCGGTGGTGTGGTTTATCCGAGTCTTTTGGACACACACACCATCGGTCTCAATCGCATAACAGTCGTTTTCACACAGTTAAGCCAAGCGAAGACATTCATTAGGCCAGTCATTTTAGAAAGGACATTCAATGCTCTATTTTTTTAGCATAAGATGTTACCGGCTGTTCACCCTCTGTACACTGCTCCACGTCTGCTCCACTATCGCAGGACAAAATATCCGTGGCCATGGACAAAACAACCGGGCGCTGGTGGGAGCCAGCATGCCTATGCCCTGCCGCCCCGCCAATATCGGTCTCACTTGGTACAACCCGGACTCAAAGGCGCTAAAAGTGTGCGATGGCGAGCGGTGGACGGAACCGAGAAAAAGTGAGTATGCCGTGTCAAGCATGGAGGTTGGGTGGATACTAGTAGCTCGAGATATTGAGTACTGCTACATAACATCACTGGTTGAACAGTGAGTATACTGTGTCAGGCACGGGAGTTGGGAGATAGCTTGGGATATTGAGTACTGCTACAAATACATAACAGCGCCGGAATACTGTGTCAGACACGGAATAGTGGAGAAGGCACACGTAGATCATTGCTAAAGGTAAAATGATTATTCACTGGTTCACTGGTTTGAGGGAAAGACTCAAATGGGAAAATTCGGAAGAAAATTTGACTAAAATTAATGATTTTTGCGTAACATAACCAAGTTAGAGATTCCAGAATTGGTAGATGTGAGTATTGCATCAGGAGTGGAGGTTGGGGGCTAGCTTGGGATATTGATTGCTGCTACATAACAGAGACCAGTAACCGAGTTGTGTAGTAACGCTTAGAGCCTGATTGGTCACTCGTGTGCTGAAGACATTGCATGCTTCACACAGCACACAGTAATCAATGGGAACTCTGTCGAGCAACTTCTGGAAACGGCATTTTATTGCCGAGTGTCAAAACTCAAACGGTGATGATTAATCAATTACAACCAGGTTAAAGACAGCACCGACCTGATGGAAATATCCAATTCGAACAAAACACTTTGCAGTCAGAGGACGACTAGACGTGAGGTGTGGCGCTGCAACACACCAGCTACTTAAACAGGAGCAAATTTATTCAATGACATTAAACCGTTACGCCAAGACGGCCTTTCCCGGTTTTTAACAAAAGCATCATATCTCTAAGTGTGTGTTGACTCTGTGCAATTCTGGTGGTTGTGCATCGCAGGCGGTCAATGTAGCGTCGAATATATCGACCACTACCAGAACTTCGATTTCTCGCACATCGTGGACCTGGAGCCATTCCGCATGCTGATCACCGACCGCCTATCCGAAGACGAGCGTCGGGAGTCGCCCACAACGCAGCAGTACGAGCCGTTCGTCGTGGCCAGCCGCATGAACTACAATGCGCCCGTGCCACGCCGCTGCAAACTGAGCATCGTCTACCGGTGGGGGCGCGAGGGAGGCTGGCACGCGTACGACCACCTGCCACGCAGCATTTGCAACGCCGGCTATGCAAAGGCATTCAACTACAACGGCATCGAGTTCCTGGCCGTGCTGGATCGCGGACAGGATCCGCACGAGACCATCGGAAACATTGTCGTGTTCCAGTGGCGACAGGATCGCTGGGATCATCAGAAGCGTATGATTCAGGTGAGAAACGCAATCACTACAACCATAAGTTAACATTTTTATGTGCTACATACTTCTTAATCTTTTAGCACGGGGGGGGGGGGGGGGGGGAGAGAAGGGGGCAGGGCTGGGTCGTGTAGCGTCCAGAAGCCATAATTCTGATTATGCCAGATTTATGCATGTCACTATACCCCCCCCCCCCCCCCCATAGTCAAGGTCCATGACTGGAATGCTGGTGGGGACAGGTGAATTTGTTCTATTATCAATTCATTTTACAATGACGTGAATTTGGTGATGAATTTTTGTCTCTGTGTATTGCTTTGTTTTGGGTACAGGCCGATTCCAGTGTCATTGCGCAAGTGGATGTCACCAGTGAATGGGGCGAGCAGTTCGACGTCTTTCACATCGGCAGCCGGACGTTCGTCGGCGTGGCGGAGTACCGCGACGACATCCCGTGCAGCGAGGTCAAGGACCGGCAGGACGACTGCGCCTACACGGCGTTCGCCACCGTCTACGAGCTCAAGGAATCCGGCGCGCTGCGCTACAGCAGCGTGTTCCGCGTGGTCTCGCACGGCGCCACCAAGGTCAAGCACATCCACGCGCCGGAGACGAACGAGGACTTCCTGTTCATCTCGAACAGCATGGACTCTACGCCGCAGCGCTCTACACAGGGCAGCGTGCTCGTCTACAAGTGGAACCCGGCGACGGGCACGTTCGACGACAACCAGACCATACCAGCCGAGGGCGTAAGCAAGCTCGAGACGTTCTTACTCAAGGGCACGCCGCATGTGGTATTCTCCTCCCTGGTCAGTCAACGAATGGAGCGAGATCCGCCGCTCAAGTTTCAGCTGACCGCGCCGATCTACAGGTATGATTCTCTGCAGCGGCGCTTCGTGAAGTTCCAGGAGATCGAGACGGACAAGAGCACCGGTGTGAAATATGTGTCGGTGTGCGGTCGCTCCATGCTGGCCCTGACCAGCCGCTCCACGCCGGAGCTGGAAAACCCGCAGCGCACGTCCTACCTGTACGCCTGGAAGGGCATCCTGGGCTTTCAGGCCTACATGCCCTTCTCTCTGAACAAGGTCTGGGACGTGGAGCACGTCGAGATCAACGGAGAGCACTACCTGCTCACGAGCTCACATGACGCAGCGCCCTCACAGACACTAAAGGTGATCACGAGTTCATGATCTGGACGTGTTTGCTCTGCGCTTGATCACGAATTCATGGGTGCTTGCTCTGGCTCGCCCGCTATCCATCGACATTTCACGCGGCCGTTGACGAAGATCCAAGTGATCACAAGTTCATAATCCCGAAGTGCTTGCTTCAGCACCCCCCACTATGCTGTGCCATTTCACATGGCCGTTGACGATAATCAATTGAGACAACTATTATAACAGAAAATATAGCCTTTGGAAGAGACCGGCGATTGCTCGGTGCTCCCGCGTCCCATATATTATTATCATTATTGTGCATCGTTTTCATGCACTGAGACAAGACATTTTCCGGGAATTATGCCAGCCTTCACGCAGTTACTCCGGTGTCTTCTGCTGAGTATACAGTTTACCTTTAAGTATAGGAACCGTTATTCAGCAACAAGTTGATCGGAGCAATTTTTAAAATTCTTCTCCCCTTCCCACAACCGATATGAGTTGAAATTCTAAATAACGAGCCATAACATTTCCACCATTGCTTAGAGACCACGCTCGTGACCAAGACCCTTGTAGTTAGGGTCATTGACAATTTGACTTCTAAATGTTTTAACACCCGGCAATGGACCACGTGTGGCACACAACCTATAATGTCGCTGAATCTCTTATCCGCTGTAAAAACTATAATTTGTGCTGTTGAGTTCCGCTATCGTGCTTACATTGATAAGTGATTGTGTATCCACCGTGTTACTACTATGTCACGATGTTTTAACCACACAAGAGAGCCCAGTGCCCGCATGTTGATGCCATCCAGCTTCTGCTGCAGAAGTGTGCACGTGCTTGTGTGTGTGCGTGCTTTTGTGTGTGTGTGTGTGTGTGTGCGTGCGTGTGTGTGCGTGCATGATTGTGTGCGTGTGTGTACGTGCATGTGTGTGGGCGTTTGTGTGCGTGCAGGCATGCGCACGTGCTTTGGCCCAAGGATACGCATACGCGCGCCTGTGCCAGTCAATTTGAAGGTCTACGGCTTAGGGTTTGCGTGCGTAGAACACGAGTGGATGGGGAAGGAAAATAATGATCAATTTCATAATCCGACCCCTATTACCCTGTCAATAGCCTGTGATTCTGATTGCTGCAGCCACAGTTCTTTACTGTCGTGGACATTGAAATCCGATGAGATGACGGGGCCCGGCGCCCTAACTACTTTTAGCGTGTACATGCACTGTAGTTCATATACATACGGTAGAAACGGAGCAGCAATGCTCTTGACTGCAAGGTCAGCGCCCGGTCCCCGCTTGACTTCTCAACGGTTTTTAATTTCCACGACAATAGTTATCAGTGATGCTTGCTAGGCAAAACATCTGCATAGCCACATTCACGGAGCAGATGATTCTAGAGACTGGACTTTCAACCGTCGCCAACAAACGTTTCAGCCTTACGGATTAACTGCCCACATAAACTATAACCTAGACACTTGCCAATACGTGAAAGTTGCAGTTCAGAAATGCCAATAACTCGAAACTGGATCGGCGTATTATTCATCAATGCCACCATGTGTTTGAAACTGGCTACCCGAGCAAGAAGTTTATGTTTAAGGTTAATCAGTATGCTCTATGGGAGAGTGAATCTCTCGAGATAATTTAATCATTAATTTCAGAATTTTTTTAAACATTAGCCCTAAAGTAATTGAATACTAGCCCGCACGCAGCTGAATAACTGTTATGAACTAGGCTTCCCCGTTCGCCCAGCCTCCAGCAACACACTGTTCATCAACGCACCACCCAAATGTTCACTACGATGGCCTCTGTCAGGATGGCTTCATAGCATCAATGATTTAGAAAATTACTTTCGAAGTTTGATCTTGAGAATACCGGAGGGTAAGACAATCATATGAGAAGTATACATAGGTTAGCGGTCAACGATCATGGAAAAGTTGTCTAGCTAGCTTCTAGACATGTGTTCCAGGATTATAATTATTTATAACATGGACTGCGCTTGCTTGGGAATCCAAAAAAAGGATCGTTCTTACTCCAGGCTGCGCAATGCATAGCAATTGAGGGGAGTTTAGGGGGATTGAAAATTATCATTCTTATCGTAATCGTCGGATCAAACTATCATACGTAGTTTATCGCACTGGAGACAGTGGAAGATTGAAAGTATGTTCAGTAAGGGCAAACTGTACACGATGAGTGAATAACACATGTTAGTCTGGATAGAGCGGCTTGCCAAGCAGGACTTACTGATCACACACAGCGGCTATGTTGAGTACTGTGCTACGCAAGCACACACACACACAACGGCGCAGACACAGCGGCTCTAGGCCACGGCAAGCAGTGATGCGAGTGCGAGCGTCGCTGCGGCCAGCATTGAGCAATAACCCCGTGACGATGGTGCGCTGGAGTCATCCATACACGTCACGTCTCCATCCGGACAGGCTGTGGGGAGAGCAAGACAAGAAGAAGGTAGCCCGATGTTATACATTAACAAGAGGGACGATCCATTTGCTGTAAACCCGGAATCGTTTGCGCCCGTTTTAGTTTGCGAATTGCGATGACAAACCAGTTTGCACCTGCAAACGTTTGCGATTGGAGTCAGTTCAATGATTGACTCGAGTCTAGTCTCGCGTTTCACGCCCACTTACTTTTGCGATTTTACACCCATCGCAAAAACTGCGCACGTTCCTGGGTTTATAGTAGTTGTTTTTCTTGTGTAAGAAAGCTCTACTCGGTCGGGTATCGAGTACTCCGTGAACAGAGAAAGACCTCAACTGTGCATTTCGAAAGAAAGAACTACAGAACTTCGTTTATATGCAGAAAAGAGGACCGATAAGCTACAAGTTACGCTATACTGTCCACTAACACCACCAGTTACTAAACAATCAGCTCATGCGATAAGATTGCACGACACTGACCGACAGTACTGACGTTCTACAACTAACTGGCAATCAGCTCCAGTAGCACAACTACGTTTCCGGCAATGTTGCATCCCGTTCAAGGGTGATTTCGGGACTTTCGGACGCGATTGGATATGCCATACTGGGCAAATATGCTCTCGAGAACATTATCTACCAAATAGCACCACAAAATTCAATATTTCCAACATGTGTCAATGCATACATATTTTATACATATTTTCGGGGTTGGTTTTTTGAATTTGCCCACATGCTATTTTCCTTGACTTACGAGTCGGTGGGTCAATGCCGGAGCTTTCCCGCACGCTCAAGTGGATTGTTCTCAGGAGTGGAGGCTGCGCTTGCTCGTCAGGACAGCATGGCAGAGTGCTGCGAACGGCGCAAGTATAGTTGCCAGACATCGACTCCGCCACCATGAACAGAGTCAGAACGCCGTCCGTTTCGTTTGTCACCACACGCTCCAGCGGCCTGCCGTGTTTCTGCACCGTCCAGAGGACTTCGCTGCGCGGGTATCCGCTGGCGTGGCACTCAAGCTGTACGGTGCTCAGTGGCCGACTCACGATCTTGCTGGGGCTTGTCTTCACCCACTGAAGCCTCTCTGCAGTGCGCCAAAAAAACACCCGCCCGCACACACACACACACACACACACACACACACACACACACCAGCAGCAGCAGCAGCAGCAAGAAGACATCATTTCAGTGCACTGCAAGCCACTAATGCAGAGAAAACGGGTTCAGATTTGATTGCTTGGTACTTGGTGCAGGCACACGTCTGAACACCCAACATTTTTCCCAGGCCCCAGCACTGCTTATTTGCCATAATATCGTGAAACCCTGTTCACTGGTTGACATCAGCAGATGCCACAGGCATTGGTTTTCGTTTTCACGTGCTGGGTGCAAGCCAATACTCACTGACAACAATATTACTTCAACAGAATGGTCCTCATTGCATTGGGCATTATGCAGGCAGAGTGGGTTGATCAAACCACAGTCTTCAGTTGCCAAGCATAGCTGTAATGACCAGATCAGGCACAAATATCATCAAGCCAAACAAGTTTTCTTCAAAGTTGGATGACAAACCTCATGCTCGTTGATTCGCTTACACGGCAGACAGCCAACCAAGTAAATAAATCTGCTAGCTCACCTTTGACAAGCACGTTGATTCTCAGCGAGGCCTGACCGATGCTGTTGCGTCCCTCGCACTCAAACGTGCCGTTCATCGAGGCCGGAGTGTTCGTGATGCGCAGCTCCTCGCCCTTCTGGTCCAGGACGTTCCTGGCGGGGTCCACCCACGTGTGTACTACTGGCGGAAAGGCGGACACGGGGCACGGCAGCTGTAGCGTGTCACCGGCAAACATCTGCACGTCGGATACGTTGTCGAGGACGTACGGTGGCACTGCGGAGACACAGTAGTCATGACAACAGAAAGATACAAATGTACAATCAAAAAGAGAATGATAACAAAAAATTCTACTTTGTTAGGGGCCGTCCAAGGTTAACCAATAATATTTTCAAAACGAAATGTTTTCGTTTGTGGGTGGGTGGGTTTGATGGAGTTTCGTTTTGAAAATAATTATTGAATGCTGATGAAGAATGCCCAGTTACTTCTGGGTGTCGAAAATTGACATCAATATTTTATTGGAATTCGTTTTACCTGCAGAAAAGGTGGGTGGGTGGGTGGGTGTGTGGGTGGGGGCTGAAAAATACTAAAACTTTTCGTTTTGTAAAAACAATCGGTAACCCCGGACGGCCCCTTACAACTCTGTACATTCAGATGTTTTCCAAGGAACCAGGGGAGGGGCATGACGTTTATTCTAGACTTCAAAATACATGTCATAGTGGGGAGGGGGAGGGTAAAATGGAAGAAGAAAATGGAAATGTCGGTTTTGAGCACCTGGGTCTGATCGTATCATCCCCACCTCAATTTCTGAAAAGGTAGTTTGTTTGACCTCATCGGTGGAGCTCAGAGTGACTGGTGGAACCGATTGCAATGAAGCACATGCATTTTGACCAACAAATCATTTTTCAACTGGCTCATCCCCACCTCTGTATCAGCTTAATAAAAAATAAATAAAAAATTTCACGGTTCGCTTGAGACTGGAAGCCGAGTTTTCCGCATCTGCCGTGAGAACGGCACCACCCTCTAGGATTAGCTTAGTCCTGAGGGTGGAATGTCCAAGGTCTAACTGCGGCGGCCACAATCTTAATACGAACACATCATCATGTACTCTTTCAGACACAAGGTCCACATGCTCGTGTTTTACTGCTGCCTTTCCTGAGATAACGTACTGTGTGATTGGGTGTAAGGTTTGGATGAGCTAAGCACTTTGCAGAGTATGCACAATGCATGGTAGTTCGAGTTACTAGGCTAGGAACTAAAACTACCGCATCCCTCGAAATATACGCCACACTCTAAACACTCACAATTCAACCGAAAAAGTCGATAAGGCCCATACTACGTTGATCAAAGGAACCGTGAAATACAGGGTAGATCGCTGTTTTTCGCGACAAATGATCTGTCTCACAATGATGTGCAAGCTCCCCAGCATTGATAAAGGCCAACTCCCCTGTAAGTAAGAGCTGGGTGCGAAAAGCAGCATAAGATCTGGGTTTTGCTTATACTGCGGAAAAATCTGGTACTGACACCGCTCACATACCTCCCAGAGTTGCGTTGATGCTGCCTTGCGGCGCCATGCACGTGTAGTGTGCGGCGTCGTCGTGAGTGAAGTTGAAGAACCGGATCTGATAGTCCTCATACCGGTTGCCGCTGAGCCAGCCGATCACCTATGGGTGCAATGACACACAACAATGCAATATGCAACCGCACAGTGAATATTCAGGTTCCAGTTTTAAATGCATGACACAGAGGGTTGTTTGAACAATCGCCAACGAGACAGGAAACGTAAAATGGCGATGAATAAAACAAATAGCGTTTTAATTTTGGAAATCAGTACATTTATCTTTTACATTGCTATGAATGCGCACTTCGTTTTATTCATTGCATTGTTACAGAGAGTTATAGTCTGGCATCACCTTCAATATCACTCCATGGTGTCACACACACACACGCACGCACGCACGCACGCACACACACACACACATCCCGCACACTGCTAACACTATCCATATCAAGTGAGAGCTACATCTTAGTTTGCGTACCTTGGCCCTGGCGCTGTCCACGAATCGCCGTCCGTTCTTCAACCATTGCATGTTGGCGTTGGCATCACCGCCCGGTGTAATGTGACAATCCAAGTCAAAACTGCTGCCGATCTGAAGTGAAGAAGTCGACACGATAACAACCGTCGAGTCAGCACCAATCGAGATAACTCTAGTAAGATCACGCAGTACTGGAGTTCAGAGATTTTCACACACTGAAAAGCAGAAATTTTCGGTGGCGTATTTTTATGATCTACTCACCTCCCACCGCTTTAGGAGCTGTATCTGCGTCTTGATCCTTGAAGGGTGGTGGCGCTCCTACGGATGCGGAAACCCGGCTTCCAGCCGAGTCTCACGCGAACCGTGAATTAATTTTTTATTATTATTTTTTCGGTAACTACAGTGCCGGCAATTTTTTACATAAAATAAAACGCACCGAAAATTCTGAAAATTTTCGGTACTAGCACCCTTACGCTTACCTGGAAATCTGGTTTACCGAAAATGTCCCTGCACCGAACCGCCGATTTTGGAGAATACCAAAAAAATTACACAACCGAAAGTTTCTGCTTTTACAGTCCATGTGTGGATCTAGTGTTAATGATGTATTAACTCATTGTGTTCTTTGGTGCTGCCTGAAAACATTTTACTGTGTATAGATCTAAAAATGTTAGAAAAAAATTCGATGGGCGTTCCATTCTATCAGGCATCATCCCAGGGCACATTATCACATCTTGCGTAAACTGCCGTACCGTACGCAGTTTTGTGATACTAGCGAGTTCAACTGAACAGATTCCCAAGCTGATGAAGGACATTGGTCAGCAAGCTAGTTACGCAAGCTATAACTGGATACAAAAATGAATAAAATTTAGTTGAAGTCTGCAGAAAACGTTGAACGGTCGTTGCTGGGATAGCAGCTTCACCATAGGTCAATGGTGAGCGCATTGCTGGCTTCGAGAGAAGGTGCCTGGTTCGCGTCCTAGTGGTGAGAGTCATTTTTTGTCAGACCCTTTCCCCTTTACATTCCCTCAACTACATGACTGTAGTAAAGTAAAGTTTGCACGTCCGCGTTACGACAGGCTACACAATTGCGTTGAGAAACACAACAACCAGCTTCGGACGTTTCGCTCATGCCAGGCCACCACCATGCGTGCAACACCAAGGCGTTCCCTCAACTAATGAACAAATAAACTAGCTCCCTAGTAGTGTATTGTTAATAGTTCTTACCGGCATGACCGCTGGTGTATCATCCTGCACGGCGCGGAGCAGTCCATTGGGCAGCGGTTTGATGAGCACCGACAGGTCTGGCTTGGTGCCGTGAAAACTCTTCGGCTTCTGAGCTTTCGGGTCTGCTGCTGGTGCCGCCGCTGGGGCTGGAACAGCGGCTGGAGCTGGAAGTGCTTCACCTGCTCACGGCACAGGACGAACAAACACACAATGCGAGTTACTTGCAAAATTATTTTTGTGAAACGTTTCGGGGGATATCAAAAAATGAAAAATAATCAACCATCAGATTGATTCCTTGTTGGTTTTTGCGTGTTGAAATGTTTCTGTACTAGATAGCTGTAGGCAACACTCCAACAGCGAATAATGGAAATGAAGCGAAGCACGTGTATTGTGTGTTGATCATAGAATGATTTTGAGAATATGCGCGACTGCAGTAAGTAGTTTCTGTAGTTCGTGTAGGTGTAAATGACTGCGCGGGCAGTCCGGGAGTCGTGCTTCGAGTACTACTAGTACTACCAGTATTGTATTGTATTGTATTGTATTTATTTAAAAGGATTCTCCAAAAGCAAATGGATGCTTATCACGGAAGTCTCCCACATAAATATCGCAAGAAAAATGGGGAAATGGGGAGAGGAGAGTGGAAGATGAAGCATGGGAAGAAGGGAAACAAGTACCTAAATATCGAGGTATAAAAGCAGGAAAGAAATCGACGAGGGAAGAAATCACCTCTGCAGATAATAGCGGGACATTTAGATGAAAAAAACCCAGCAAGGATTAATTTCAAGGAAAAAAAATTTCTCAAACGGAAAAGTTCGGAATTCCAGTCACAGAATATCTATGCTGAGAGTAATGAGCCTTTAGAGCAATGCGAAAATTGACAGAGGACTGAACGCAGCGGATGTGTTCTGGAAGTTTGTTCCATTCCACAGATAAACTGAAGAGAGGGGATTTAAGGAAATGGGCGCCAGAACGAGGTAAAACTATAGAGGACGGGTGACGACAACTAAGGGATACATTGAATTTGAAACGAATTAGCAAAGACGGAAACTGGTAAAAGACATGATGAAAATACAGCAAGGACAGAATCTGACGACGCCACTTCAGGGATGACCAGTCACAAGTACGATTAAGAATCTGCTTCGGGGTTTCCCACTCAGGAGGGTGCCGGGTCTTACAAAGCAGATATGAACGAGCAGCAACGGCTTGCAGTCGGTCTAACGTAAGCGAATCTGAATGGGATACGGCGAATGACCAGACAGGGACTGCGTATTCTAACAGTGGTCGTACGTAACACTTGTAGAGCAAATTCACGGTTGAAGCAGAAAGGAAATGGGCCATATGGCGCAACAGAAAAACACGACTGCGAAACTTATGGGTGATAGATTTTATATGGTCAGAAAAATTTAGTGAAGGAGTGATAGTCACGCCGAGATGACAGTGGCTATCACCTTCCTGAATAGGCACACCGTTCATTGTCAAGGGGGATGACGGGCCGGGGGCTAATGCATATTTTTGAAAGGGTAGGTGGACGCATTTACTGGTGTTAAACGTCATGGCAGTAGCTGATGACCATTGACAACACTTATCAATGTCAGTCTGGAGCAATGCATGATGGATAGGAAGTGAGGTGTTTGCTGGAGAAACAAGAATTAAATTAGAGTCATCAGCAAAAAGGGATAGGGTACTAGAAGCAGGGGCATCAGGAAAGGAGTTGATGCACAGGTTAAAAAGGAGCGGGCCGAGATGGGAACCTTGGGGTACGCCAGCGGTGATGGGCAAAGGGTCAGAAAGAGTTCTGTCTGTCTTCACCAGCATACTATTACTACTACATGTAGTACACCATGTAGATTATCTACAGACTACACGGGAGATTGGTGGCCGGGGAAGCACTGGGGAAATTTCCAAGTGACGAGGGGACATCCGTACCCGGTACCCGATCCAGGAGTAGACCTACACCACGTACACGTCCACATGCACTGCTCAATGAAATCCGAACGCGTGGTCAAGTCTGCGCCCATAGCCTATACGCACATGTAACCACGGTAACTGTGCAAGAGAGCTGCAGATTGAGAAAGAGTGAGAGTAGCATCTACATAACTATTACTTGCAACCCAGGCTAGTGCGTCGACGATGCAATGGTGCGCGAATGCGCGCACACGTGCCGTGATAGGATGGGTTCGAAAACATTCGAATCCTCTGCATCTCCTCCACTCCACAATGTAGATCTACATTGTGTGATCTTCTTGACAGAATAATGGTGGTGCTGGATCTACATGTATACCTAGCAGGTCTACATAATCATTGTATTCGACAACCTGGTCACATCTAATCAAGAAAATGGAAGACTGGAGTACAGTGTACAGTGTACAGTGTAGCTGTAAGTTGTCAGTAAAATATTATAGCCAATACTGATACTGTAGGAGTGCACTATGCTCGGGCAGCTGTGTACAATAGTACAATCCTCATGTACATTGTACATGTACATGTACATGTACATGTAACGCGCCCTAACAAACAAAAGTCCGAACTCTTGTTCTAAAGAAGGACATCCCTGACATTGGGGAGACCTACATGTACATGGCAGTCACACTGTGCATCTACTGCTTACACAGCTGCATTTAAACACCGTTTTTTATTTTCATTTTTTATTTTAACTGGTTTTTGAGGGAAAGAGACAAACGGGAAAAGTCTGAAGAAAAAATTGACTGTCACCACCAGGACTCGAACCAGGGACCTTCACTTGCAGCCAGTGATGCTCTAACCACTGAGCTTATTTTACTATTATTATTTTTTCGGCAACGCAGATGATGATGATGATGATGATGATGATGATGATGATGATGATGATGATGATGAGTAGGACTACTTTTGTTTTGTAAGTCAATCTCATTCTCCACGCTTTGCTGTCATTTGGTTATGTTTTAAAGTAGTTTTTATGACCTGATGTTTGTTTTTTTATATTTGTAGTTCTATTGTTGACATCTTTTGTCTTTTCTTTGGGTTAAAAGGTTAACTTCATCCTCGTTTTCTTATTGCCTTGTATTGGAATTTGCCCATAAAAGTGGCTACGGTGTGATAATGCATTTTAATATTTCGTGTTTTAACATTATTTTCAGAAAATTGCTCTTACAACACCTTGCGTTTTATATTCATAATATTGTTGCCCGTAAAAGCGGCTTGGTCATATGATGATGATGATGATGATGACATGTAAATGATGGAATTATACACCAGAGGGTCCGAAAAAAAACACAAGTATTCTCTCCTGTCATACTTCCACATGTACATGTACATGTACATGTAGATGCGGGCGTGGCCAACAGCATCTCCAAAATGTTGCTTGATGATGGCATAGCATGAAACTCAGAGTACAAGTCTTGTGCCTTGTTGTTTAGTCATGTGATTGCACATGTACATTGTACACTGTGTATGTTTTTTGGCACTTTGCACTGCTGCTGAAAACGCCTGCGGGATGTACATTGTACATGTATATGCCACAGGTGATTGCTCGAGTCCCTTCACAGGTGCTGTGATGGTCAACTTGAACGTGATATTTGCGTCGTTTGTTCTCAGTGGCAGCCACAAGTGCGTACTACACTGGAGAAAAACAGGCTCTGCTTGCGGCGTGCCCTTACTGGCCTGAACCACTAGTGATACAATCATGCACTTTGCCTGCAGTCGACCTCATACTGTTCGTAGTTCTTTACAAGTTACGGGTACATGATCGGCCATAATTCGATTACCGCGCCAGTCACGGCAAGGGCGTGGCGGGGGGAAATCCCAAAACAACGACATTCGTAACGTGCTACTGGTCGGTAGCTAGCTACATGTACGAGTATAGATTTTTTTGTTTTTTTTGTTGTTTTACTACAAAGCACTGGCCAGCAACATACATGTAAAAGGGGAGGTAGACAAAATTGGACAAGCGAACATTGACAACACAGAGGAGCCTGGCATGCGTGCCGATGAGGTAGTATGCAGAGAGATTGTGCCAATGACAGTATTGTCTAATGGTGTTCATTATTTATGTGGTGCTTTTGTCCACATCCATAGACTTTATCTTGCCCGTAAAAGAGGCTGTTTTTTTGTTTTTTTGGAACTTCCAACATGCATGATTTTGTATGTTATCATTTTCTCGGATTCCGGTTTTCCACTCTGTTATGTTCGAATCCATAGTCTGTCTGTACATGATTAATTTTGTACGCAACTTCCCATTGTTTGTTTTTTTTACCAGGCGTGGGCCATCCCCTGATCATAGGTGCCAAACATTTTGCGTTTTTCATTCGTTTGAACATGTTGGAAGTTCAACAAAAAAAAGCCTGTTACCCCGTAAACACATTGTATGGAGTGTTGCACGTGTTATGTGCAATTTCTGATGACGGAGTAACGTGACTGTAGCCTCCCTAAACCCATCATGTTACCCAGGTACATTGTACACTGCATGATCTCAGACGGCTGTATTTGCGAGTTACGATTATACTAAAGTTATTGCATTCACCCTGATGGCCTACTTCGTTGCCTGGGCAAGCCAACGGCATTATGTTTGACATTTTGTTGAAGTGGATACGCCAGAGAACAAGCCGGGACATGACAGGTTCTAGTGCTAGCTGAGCCCAGGCAGAAAGGAACGTCTTTCAGCCTATGGGCGTCTGTAATCTTTGACGGGTTGCTTTGAAGAGGACAATGAAGTACTGTAGTTAGACTAAACAGTGGGACAATGTTTTCTCTATGATGCAACTCGGATTAGGTAATGTACACACGTACATGTTCACACCACGATCCTGATCTTTTCACCGTTGCTTATTTCCACGAAATGCACTTTCTACCAAGGTACATTGTAGAGGGAAGGGACCAAGGATGGCCATTCAGCGCATACCAAGCAGCTACATGTACATGTACTTCGAAGCACCAATGGAGAGGGTGGAGTAGGAGGAGTAGGTGGAGCAAACCAAGCTCTGCCGACCGTAATGGTCTCGGAGTCACTGCTGAGTATACGACCCGGGGGGGGGGGGGGGAGGGGAGGAGGGGGGAGCAGAACAAAGAAGACAAACGGTTAAACGTATTTCAAAATACTTTTACGTGATAGTAAACAACTACAATTTACTTTCTTGGAGGAAAGAAGTTGCCCAATCCAGAAAACGAGTTCGTGAAAATGTCTTGAGTCCCCGAGTCCGAGGAT